TGCGCCCACGAAGGGGTGCGCGGCGAAGCCAGGGCCGGCTCCGGCCGGCAGGACGCGGATGCCAGGGGCTCCGACGGCTCCAGGTAGGCGGCGCTGGAACCGGCGCGCGGGGGCCGGGGCGCGGCTCGGGTCCGCTGGCGGAGGTGGGTACCCAGCGGGGCAGGCGCCCGAGCTCGCGGCTCTGAAGCCGGGAGCTGGGGGGTTGTGGGGAGCCTGGCACGAACTGGGACAGGGTGACACTGGGCCTCCCAGGGAGTTCGACAGGCCCCTGAGACGGGGCTCCAGGGGCAGGGACGGGGCTAGAGCACGCGAGGAGGTGCGGGGTCCTGCCAGCAGCGCGGGCATCCTTTGGTGCCAAGAGCCGCCCGCTGGGGTTCCTGGAGGGCCTTCCTCCTGCTGACCCCGCTCCAGCCCAGCTTCCGAGGCGCGGTTCGGAATGCGACCCGGGAGGAGTCTAGGTCTTGGGGTGCGGGTGTGCGTGGAAGTTGGGAGACCCGCGGGTGGCCCCCGGTGTCCTCCCGCCCTGTCTCCCCCGCACGCCCTCCGCACCCACGAGGGGGGTACCAATCCCAATCCGCGGGCATTAGCTTCCCCGACCCCCCGCAAGGCTGAAGGGGACCCAGGTCCTCCCCTGGATGTGGAGAACGAGTGTGGCAGAGGCCTCGACCGCAAAGCCCCATGGGGTGGGTTACTAAGTAGGTCGCAAGTTTCCAGAAGGGCAAGTCCCTTTGGCTCTGAGTTTGCCGGGGGTGCCTGGCCTGTCTCCTGAGTCTGTCCAGGCCCTGGATGGAGACGATGTCCCCAGCCGGTCTCCCGGCCCTCCTGCCTGCAGTTACTTTCCCTTTAGCTGCTTGGACCGAGGGGAGCTATTATTACCTTCTTACTCAGATTGTATTTTTGTCTGGTCATTAAGGGATAAGCACACGTAGTATGCACATGTCTACATAAATAGATGGGTGACAGGTAGGCCATCTCCAACCAGCAAGGGTTAGGGGCAGAAAGTGTTCCCCTAACTTCTGACTGGAGGTCATTTGG